TGCTGAATGTAATTCTGACACGCTTCTGCCTAGGAGACTATTCGTAAGTAATATGTGTGAACTATGAGAAGACACTTGCCTTTTATTAAGGAATGTCATGTTAGCAACGATTCTATTGTTTTGGTAGAACATGTGCTCTGCGAGCTAGCATACAACAGTAGCTAGCTCTGTTCAGAGATTGACTTTGTTATTTAGCTGTTATAGTGAGCTGTATTTTCTACACAGTACAGTGCTGCTTTAAGCTTTAGTGGTAATTTAAATTTACACCATTATGTAGGATTTTGTTCTTTTTTCTCTGTAATGTTTCAGTTTTACAAAACAAAAGCAAATCCGAGAGCGGAAACAACACTTCAGTAAAATACAAGAAAAGTCAGCCTTGTGTGTTTATTGGAGGACTTTTGAGTGTTAACTGGCTGTCTAGCTTTGCACAAGAATACACACTGCAAGGGCAGTACAGGCACCATTTACCCTATTCCAACTTAGTGCAGTATCAAATGAATTTGAAGCTGTTATTTTTAAGGGAAAAGTTACATTATGGGTCTTTAAGTATTATCCTCTATGTTAAAGCCCCAACAAGAATGCTTCAGCAAAGCATCTCTCACTCACTCACCCATCACTCTGCCCTTGCTCTGCTCTACTGTACAGTCTACTGACAGTCACACTGCTATGCTCAAATAGAGGCATTAGTATTAAATTAAACTGTGACTGTTTCATAACCAGTTAAAAACTACTTGTTGTACATTTAAGGTTAACCATTTATTTCTGGGTTAAGAGGTTTTCTGTTAAGGGTGGGAATAGATTGAGGCTAGTGTGACGGATGTATTTGTCATGTGCTGGTTAAGGCTATGCCTGTATAAAGTTGATGTATGTCAATACACTGTCATCACGAGTGACAAAAACAAAAGTGTTCGTTTGATAAACACAGCAGAGAGGGAGAGAGAATGTGTTTCCAGTGTTTTCCAGTAACTGCGCTGTTGAATCTGATCCGTTAATATAGTGACACCCGGCACCCTGGCTGAAGCACCAATTAGATCCGATCAATGCTGTCAACCCTGCTCACCTTGTCTTACTGTCTACTGCAGCTCATTCGCCTGCAGCCCGGAACAGTCGATAAGTGTTTACTGATCAGCAGTCAGCTCACACAGCATCCTGTACAGCTGGATGATGAATATGTATACCACCAACATCGGTCACAGCGTGTATAACAAACAATATCGATACATTTCAGTATCGCAATATTTTGTTTTGCGATATTGTATCAGTTCTCAAAAACACTGTATTGATTTTTGTGTTTAAACTCCCAACTGCTAGATAGCAGTGTTGTAAACTGAGGGCTATGATGTTGGATGTTACATTAAACAATGTTTACTCAGATTTTATGCATTGGTTAAGAAGGGGAAAGGTTTTGGTGAATGAGATAAGCGTTCCTTGGAATGAGCAAGAGCAAGGCAGCAGCTGACCACCTTATCCTGCTGGAAGATGAAAAGTTCATGTCCAATGTAGCGTTTTTATCTGACATATTTGGCCACCTAAACCTGCTTAACCTTCAGCTACAGGGGGAGACAAACCATCGTGGACATGGTTGAAAAACTGGAGTCATTCACGAGGAAGCTTGAGATGCTTGAGGCAGACATATCTACCGGCAGGCTCCTACATTTCAGCACACTGAGAAGACAGCGGGAGAAGTGACGGAGTTGATGGTTGACTTCATCAAGAGGCTACGAGCCAACTTCACTTCTCGGTTTGATGACAACTCCATCCCAAAGACATCATTGACTTTATACGTGACCCTGCAGTAAAACCAGCCGACAACTTCTCCTTCCTGGCGAAAGAAATAATCTCCTCTTTGGATCAGGCTGCGCTGGAAATGGAAATTATTGACTTCCAAACCACCTCATTGTGCGAGATGCGCTCGAAGTGCGGAGTCCGTGAGTGCCTTTTGGGTAGGCCTACTATGCTCCGAGGAATACAGCAACCTCAAGAAAGTCGCACTTTACATTCTGACAATGTTCCCTTCCACCTACGTATGTGAGTCGTCCTTCTCAGCTATGAATGCAATAAAAACGCATGAGAGGAATAGACTGACTCACCAAAATCTCGAGAACTGCCTGAGGATTAAAGTGACGTCTATTTCACCAGATATCCAGCAAATAGTGACCAGTGGGAGATGCCACTTTTCACACTAGGTGAGTAATCTAAACCAGTAATTGTGTCTAAAATCTGAACTGTATTTTTAATGAATGTCTCGTTGTAGGCTAGGCATAATTCAGGCAGTAAATGTAGCACGTCTGCTCTGTCGTTTCGGGGCCAGCACTCCAGCCCATGGTCGTGGATTCGGCTTTTTGCTTCGTACTTTTTGTCTGATTTGCTCCGATTTAACAGTGCAATGCATTGTTATCAGTTTACATTTTTGGTGCCACCACAGTCATATAAAGGCCTAAATAACACGCACGTTTGAAACTCGTGTTTTACTTTTCCATTCTATGTACGGAAATGCCTATGTTTGATGTCTGGCCTGTTTGAAAGAAGTCGTGTTTTAATTTTCACAATAATATGAAGCCTATGTCCATTGTTTGAATGACAACTTGTGTTTTAGGGACTAGTTTGGAATTTCGCACCAGGCGCTGTCCACTGACTTCATTTGTTTTGCATGTTGAGCGTTCACGCTGCACCTCGCTGATGTGCGTATTCACTCGTATCCAGATAAAACAAATAAGCATTTAGATTGAGGAAATTTTCTGTTCTGGAAAATGAAGGTTCCATAAAGAGCATTTTGAGACTGGCAGTCCGATTTTTAAAAGTATATTTTATATTTTTATTATCATTCTCTAGTTCAAACAATCTCATGGGCCAGATGTTTTTGCTTGCGGGCCACATCTGGCCCGCGGCTATTGACCTATGCTATAGACTGTTTTCCTAAAATTAGATTTTTCTATTTAATCGCGATATCTTGAACTGTAACCCCTGTATTGTGATACACATGGTATCACCAGATTCTTGCCAATACACAGCCCCTATTGGTCACCATGCTTGCACACTGGAAACAATTGAATGTCATTTTTTTAGCCAGGTGAACATGGGGTACAGAGGGCTTTGGGGCTGTTTAGAAAGTGTTATATAGTTTGCTTGTTCCTGTTCCTTTGGGTTGGTGCTGTCACTTTAAGAGCAGCGCAAAAGGCAGGTGTGTATTTTTGTTTATGTGTAAGAGAAATATCCCTATAAAATACAAAAATGGTTATGGTGTCAGCAGAGGAGATTATGGTTAATATAGCAGACAAAGGTTGATGAATTTTATATTCCTGCTGATTCCTGTAGATGTGTGAACGAGTTTTGTGTGTCCTTCACCATACTGAGAGCAACACTAAACAGCGGGGTCAGCGTGAGTAGTGATAGTTTATGTATAAACAGAATCATAACATATGTATGTTTTCTGCCCAATTTAGAGGGGAGATATATGCTTGTTGAATTCCAGGTGTGTGTGTGTCTAAAATGTTTATACAAATGTATTCGTTTGGATTGTTGTTTGTTTTTTCTGTATTTAGACAAGATTGTTGTTGTCTAGAGATAGCTAATATCTGAGGTTTCATCTACCTGCTGAACAAAGTCTACACTCATCTGGATAAGTCGGCGAGCACTTTGAGAGTCATGTTCTTTGATTTCTCCAGTGCTTTCAACACCATCCGTCCAGCTCTACTGGGTGAGAAGATGGCTGCGATGCAGGTGGAGGCCCCCATCGTGTCCTGGTGTGTTGATTACCTGATGGGCAGACCACAGTACGTACGCCTGCAGAACTGTGTGTCTGACAGGGTGGTCAGCAACACTGGGCCCCCACAGGGGACTGTCCTCTCTCCCTTCCTCTTCACCCTCTACACCTCGGACTTTAACTATTGCACCGAGTCCTGCCACCTTCAGGAGTTTTCTGATGACTCAGCAATAGTTGGTCGTGTTGAAAAGGGTGATGACAGTGAATACAGGACTATGTTGGGCAACTTTGTCACTTGGAGTGAGCTGGACCATCTGCAGCTCAATGTGACAAAGACGAAGGAGCTCACAGTGGATCTAAGGAGGGCGAAAACACCGGTGACCCCTGTTTCCATCCAGAGGGTCCCAGTTGACACTGTGGAGGAGTATAAGTACCTGGGGGTGTACTTTAATAATAAGTTGGTCAACAAGAAGGGCCAAAGCCGACTCTTTTTCTTGAGGAGGCTGAGGTCCTTTAACATCTGCCGGATGATGCGGAGGATGTTTTAGGAGTCTGTTGTGGCCAGTTCGATCTTCTTTGCTGTCACATGCTGGGGCAGTGGGCTGAAGGTCGCAGACAACAACAGACTAAATAAACTGATCAAGAGGGCCGGTGATGTCGTGGGGGAGGAGCACCCTGACGACCGTGCTCTCTGCCACATGTGTAAAAGCGCTTTGAGTGGTCGGAAGACTAGAAAGGCACTATACAAGTACAGGTCCATTTACTATTTACCATTAAGGGGTGATTCTCACGAACAGTCACAGTAACATAAAAATATAATCAACCTAATTTGGCAGATTTTTTTATTCTACTGGGTGAAGTAGAATGTGAACTTTTATTTTTTGATAGAAGTTACACAGGAAAACAATTGAATTCAATTTTATTCCAATTTCATACCAGCGTGATCCAGGATAATTCTCATTGCCGATATGCTGAGTGGAGAAAGCAGACCATTAATTAAAAAAATATTTTTTCCCAATTTTTTCACATTTACACAAATGAGCACAATAAATGAACAGCACAGTGCATCAATAGTATTGTTTTATATATTTTTAATCACATTTAAAAACAAGTAACTCTCATTACCGATATACTATAGGTATTTTAGAGCCAAATTTTTTAAACACTTTCTTTGTTAACAAGAAATTGTAGAAAGAAAACACATGGAGCACAGTTAAGGAACATATTATGATAAATGAACAAAGTGATTTCTCTGAATAATAAAAATATAAAAAATATCAACTAATTTTCATCCATAACGGTAATGAAAAATCTGTTGCGGAGGATGAGATTTTATGTTGCGGTAATGATTGATGATGGAATGATTTCATTTAAAAAGGTCATCGGGACATCATGACATAACTTATTAACAACAAGTGAACGATAAAAAGTTAAAACGGATTGAAATGCCATTTCATGTAATTCAGGCCTTTGAGTACTTTGCCCAAATTTCAGGCAAGACACAAAAATGACGAGCAGAAGACGTTGCAGGCATTGGCTCTGGGATGACTTGTTTAATGTCCTCTGGGAAGTACCACACTTTGTGGGCGGCATTTAAAAAACTGAGCATGAGAAATCTTCTTGCTTGGGTCCTCCATCAGGAAACGTTTGTGAAGGTTTTCTACAGTGTCACAGAGAAACCTTCTCTGGAACACCTGCCCACTTCTCCTGATCTGAGCTTTCCCATTCACAATCGTGGATACATCATTACGATGAAAGAAGGTTCTGATTGCACTTCCCATCAGTTGCCTCCTCTTGACAGATGAACGGACATCTTTTGTCAGCTTATTCCTTGTTTTTGTTTCTTCCTTTCTCATTTTCATTCGTTTTACTTGCTTTCTTAGCCTGTCTATTTCTCTGTGTTTCGTTTGCAGTGATTTACTTTTTTCTATGAGTTTGGCTCTAAGCCTTGATGCAGCAGACCTGTTTGGTTTTGGTGTTGATGTTCTTAGAGTGACTACTGGTGAGGGAGCTTCAAGAGCACACTGATTTTCACCATTTTCTGTCATCGGACGCAAGACCTTTCTTGATGGTCCAGGCTCAACATCTGTCTCATCGGTGATCGAGGGTGGGGTGAGATCTAGAACATCTCTCAAGGTCTTTTGTTTTCTGTAATATTTTGCAGAATTTTGTCTCCATTGTTTTAGTTGTCTTTTTAATGCTTTTGCATCCAAGGTCACTGAAAAATTTGAGTTTGCCCTCAGACTTGCGCTTTCGATATCTACAAAAAATGAAATATCAATGATTCAGGGTGTCAATAACAATAATCATACTGTGTACCACAAGTCAAATTATCAAAATGTCATTTTTACAAGCATTGTACAATATCAACAAAATGGTAACAGTAACTTAAAATGTGGATATGATACAAGAGCAGAAATATAATCGGTGTGATAACATTGGGGTTGAGCGAGTACTCGGCTGAAATGAGCATCCTATACAGATAATGTATTTTTTATCGTCCGAGTATCGTCCCACTATAATGTGTTGATTTCTGTGAGGATAGCTGTTTATTATTGATTCAAGTTTATAAAAAATGTTCTGTAAACTTCTGTTTCTCTTGCTTGTGATCAAAAACATTGATCTAAATTTTCAATTTCTGTGAAAAGTTTTCTAATAAATAACAAATATAGCAACTTCTGATCATCACATATCAATTTCAGGCTTAAATTAACAACTTCTTGTTTAAGCACCACCCACTTCTGGGTACAGTATGGATACATTCTGTTTAGATTAGATTTAGTTGGTTGAACAGATATCAATGATACTGTACTCGCTCATCCCTAGAAGACATCTCTGACGCGCACACACACACGCACACATACACTTTCGAGACTTCCCTTCCTGGAACTAACATATACCACTGTCTTTCCTTTCTTCTGTATTCTTCCAGAAGTTCAGGATCCCATATAATTTCTCCCTGTGCTTTTTAACCCTAGCTTTGGCTGCAGCCTTCTTGCACTGGTCGTCTGTCAGTCTTGGCAACAGTCACAAAAACCATTCGACATGATCATTAAAAAGGCAGTGGAGTGTGCTAGCTATTCATATAGTTAAGTAATTACAATTTGAGTAATTACATAGTTAATACATAGTGACAATATAAGCTAATAAAATATTATTAAAAGTTAATGAAATATGAATTAAAATAACTGTTAACTGTCCATTTATGAATGTTAAGGTCTAAAGTAATGTAGCATACTAGCATTTAATGTTATTCTCTAACTTGGGTAAGAGCATCTCATTACCGCAACATAACTTCTCATTACCGATATGAGCCTTTAAAGTACATGGTAATGAGAAACATGAGTAACGGTATTGGGGCACTCTTAGCTAAATTAGCACACTAATCTATCTAATCTAATCTAATCTAGCATAAAATGCTAACATGCTACACATCTGCCACCTTTGCTACATGGTGAAGTCTTAAATTATCTTCACGTTCAGACAAAAATAATGCAATATATTTTTAAAAGTATCGATTATCAACCCATATCTGTAATGATAATTGACAGTGTAACAAGAGGAAAATTTACAATTTAAGACATTTACAAAAATTTAATTATGTGAGAGATGGGAGAGCTACTAACCTTGTGTCCATTTTGAACCTTCTGTCTCAAGGGATGCATCATGGGACTGCTTGTCAATTTAAAGGAACAGTGCACTTTTTATAGATGATGCAATAGCGTTGCGGTAATGAGGAACATCAATTTCAATAAAATAAATATATATTTGTTGTTATACACCATAAATACCTATATTGATCATAAATATAGACATTTTTACACAACATTGTGCAATTTTGTTCTATTTTAACAAAACTGATTTTTCAGGGAATTAAAAAGAACAATACAATAATGGATCTGGACACATTTCGGTAATGAGAATTCACCGGGATATTTTGTTTAATAATTGTAAAAATTATATTAAAAGTGTAAAAAAAACATTTATCCCTACAGCGCACTTCACCCTCTTTATAGGAAATATCATAACTAATAATAATAAAGTGTTTTGTTTGTAAAATATAACCAGGATATGTTCACTAACGCTTCATGGGGTTAGGTTCATTAACTGTATTTTAAGGGTTTAAGATAGTAACAGTTGTAACAAAACAGAATAGTTACTTTTCTCTCTCTTTCTGTTCTTTTCCTGTACCTGGTATCAACTTTCTGCTTTAACAGTGCACTGTAGTACTGTCCAGGCTACAGTCCATCTTGGACAATGTCTCACACCCTCTCTACGACACACTGGCCCAGCAGAGGAGCACCTTCAGCAGAAGACTCCTCTCACCCAGATGCACCACAGGAAATCATTCCTGCCTGTGGTAGTCAAACTATACAACGCCTCCCTCAGAGAGTCAGTCACCCCCTTTCCGTAATACATAGTCTTACACATAGTTACTGTACACATACTCACTTTACACTTGCCATTTTTGCACATTTTGCACATTTGAAAGTGTGACTTTAAAATCTGTCATTTTCTGTGAATTTTTGCCTTGTATTTGAACAAACACCTCATAGGGAACTTATCAGATCTGCTTTAAAATTGGACAGTACAGTCAAAAAATGTTACTGATTAAAACTTACGCAATTTGCGACTGTATGTTGAAGGGCGTGTCCGTGGCGTGCCGTCAAAGTTGGCCAGCTTGAATCGAATGTCAAGCTGTGATGCCATTTCGGGCATTTCTACAGATTTTATCGCATTGCCTTTAAATTCGATCACTGCAATCTAGACACATTGGTGATCAAAAGTTAATCAAATATTTACTGTGCGTCAAACGGCGTGTCCGTGGCGTGGTGCTGAATTTCCAAGTTTCGCAGTGAAGAATCTCACTATGAAAGTGTAAGTCTTTTGCACGGTGTCTGAAACGTGTGACAATGTAGAGCAGTCTCCCTCAGCTTCCGGCGATGAAGGCTTGGGCGTGGAGTGCGATGTCCCTTCCAATGCTGCTTGCAGCTTTAATTCTTAATATATTGTATGTCCTATTCTGTTTTTTTTCTATTACATATGGAGTATATGTCACAAAAGTAATTTCCCCCTGGGATTATTAAAGTATTTCTGATTCTGATTCATTAGTGGCTTCAACTAACCTATTTAAACATTTTCTTACTTTTTAAAGGCTTACCGAGAAGCACTTCAGTAAACTGTCATAATACAGTTGTTTGCGCATAGTTTATGACGCTAACATGTTTACCAAAAGGACTGCACACCTTAATTGCCTTGTGACGCTTCATTTCGTGCTCTGCGTTGTTGTGGCAGTTAGAGCAGTCACAGTTGCTGCACATCACTCCATTTGCAAAACACTCACAGTAACTGAAAGAGACAAACACACAGAAATATATATTAAACTACATCAAATGACATAAAAGTGTGAAAAACAGAGAGGAATATTTATTAAGCCTATTGCTTGTTACTGTCATTACAGCCATTTTGACATAAAATAGTAGGGTAAACACAGGTGTTACCAGTGATAGTAATTAAGGTTCTGTTCATTCAGGTCAACAGAGTCAGGGTGCTGCTGTTGTACATTTGGCTCACTAAAAATTTAAAACCTGTGTTTACCCTAATATTTCTTGTCAAAATGGATGCTGTGAAACAGGTTTATTTAGCATGGTATTTACTGAGCTATGGTTTGTATACAGTGCAGCTGAATAAGCTCTGATATCAGACTGTTTTGGAGTGTGTATGGAGAGCAATGGAGCACAAAAAAGCTGCTCAATTTGGAATATTTAAGAGAAGACACATCTGGAACTGCAACCGTGCATTCATCCCACAATGGTAAGGTCATATGTGAGGAAATGTTAAATATCTTGATGTTTTCACTCCAACAAACAGAACAGATACGTGTGGTGACCAGAAGTTCCTTCCCTACAACAAAAGTATTAGGATTGTTATGTAGAGAAAAAAGTTGTTTTGTCTGTTTTTATTTAGTTTTGGGTTGTTTATTGCATACTCTTCCATCCACACAAAATAGTGACTAAAACCATTAATAAAACCATTGATGGCAATTCCGTATGGCTTCAGCTTATCCTATAATTCCTCAGATTTTTTTCCCACTTATGTCTGGCCCTAACTCTTTGGTACTTTGCCTGCTTAAAAAAAGTGAATAAAAGTGCCCTCGGTCGAGAAACAGCCCTGCAGGCCTCAAACTGGATGACCAAAGGAATGTTTCAACTGGTGAAGAACCGAATTTACAAGTTATGATCTGCTTTCAAAAGACATGCCTTGCACAGACCCAGCACCGTACTGATAAAGGCCAGTAACCCCACATTTCAGGGTGTGGCCCCTGTTGCTTACTCAGTGCATATGTATATACACTGTGTTCCAAATAGGGCTGGGTATCGTTAAAAAATGTTCAATACCAGCACCGATACCAGTACACTTAACACGATACCAATACCAATTGAGTACTTCATTCGATACTTTTTTTCAACTTTAAAAAAATAAATAAAATATTTATTTAATAAGTGTACCAACATGTACAACGAAGAATATATATATATGTAAAATTATATATTACCTGAAGTTATCGATGGTTACTCCGTGTTAGGGTGGCCATTTCCTTCACATCAAAAAGGAGGACACTTTGCATACACGGGGACACGCAAGTATTTGTTTGGTAGGATCCGGTTTTAAATTTTAATGTTTTTCCACCAGATTACATAAAGGTGCATACACATACCACATAGCTAATAATAAATATACAATTAAGATACAGCTCATGACAACGTGCCCTTCCAATTCAGATTACATAGGTCTAATAAACATCATACAGAAACTGTTCTTAATGTTTTTATCTGGATAGATAAAGGGTAAAAAAATGCAGCACCTTCTGTTTCAGATGTATAGGCTTTGTCTAGGCTTTGTCTATACAGATGAGTATGAGCATTTTCAGAATTTCAGTCCAACAACCAACGTTATCTGTAGCTGAGAGCTTGATTGACAGCCTGGTGGCAGCAACTGGTGAGCTGTGTTGTGGCAAATCAACACATGGCTCATTTGAATATTAAAATTAGCCATGTGTTGAAGGTCACAACACGAAAATGTAAACAATGAAATTACTTATTTTGACACACATTTTTAGCCAATAAGTATTATTAGTAACTAACAAGGTAATGTGTCAAAAGGCAACCTTTTTTGTTATTTTCTCAAAAGGAGGACACGCTTAAGGCTGCGCCTGCAGCCGGATAGGGCATTTAAAAGCCGGACGAATGGCCACCCTACTCCGTGTTCTGTTGAGATGACAACGACGACGACGCTGGTGTTGTAGACACCGGCTTCTTAAAAATGGTGCAGTTGTCCACCCTGAAGTTTGCTCCTTGCATGATGAGGTGCTTCATCATATTGCTAGTATTCCCTGTTTTCCCCGAAATAATCTTGCCGCATTTGATGCATCTTTTGGTACCCTGCGCCACAGGCGTGTAGTACAACCATACTTTTGAACGTTTTGCTGCCGGCATCTCGGAATGCTGACCAGCCAACTCCGCCACAGACTAAGCGTGCACGCTTTACCGCCATACAAAGAAAAACCATAGAAACAGTCATTTTATTCTCGATCTGGGTAGTGGGTACAAAAAGAACCGATCGCGGGTATCGTTTGACAGCTTGCGAGTTGTAAAGTTTTGTTTGCAAATCAGTCCTCTTTGCTTGCGAATTCTAAAGTTTTGTTTGCGAATTCAACTGCACTTGATGGGCGGGGCCTACGCTGGTGGATCCCTTGTGCTGTGCTGCTTGGAGGTAAGCCTGTTGCTCTTTAAACGTTTCCCATAAGTAATGAATAGCGCTATATATCGTTGGCTTCAGCCTGCCGTACATTCACAACAACAACAACAACAACAACAACACCACCACAAGTAATGACTTATAATGCCCTGCTGCTGCAAGCACACTGATTAGCAGCAACATGGTTGTCTCTGCTAGTCACGGCCTATAGCCTACACATTCTACATCTCTGAGGTCAAAAGCATCATTCAGTGTCATTTAAGTCGGACCGTCTGACGCAGCTGCTCCTGTATAGACCAGTAATGCTGGCTGGTTAGAAATATGTGCGTGAATTTGTTAAATTATTCGCCACGTGTGTTTGTTGACATTAGAACAGCTGTAGCGAGAACAGGAGCCGGGAGGAGTAGCAGCAGCCCGCTACACAGTGGAAACTGGCACTTACTTACTTATGGGAAACATTTCAAGAGCAACAGGCTTACCTCCAAGCAGCACAGCACAAAGGAGAAGTGGGTGTAATGAGGAAGACGTAGCCAGGTCAAACCAACCAATAGAAACTCTTCTCTCGTCCACCAGCGTAGGCCCCACCCATCAAGTGCAGTTGAATTCGCAAACAAAACTTTATAACTTGCAAGCAAAGAGGACTGATTTATATGCAAAATGGTCGTATGTTTTTACTTACAAACATTAGTTTTGATTGAAGTTGAAGAAATAGGTTCTCTCATATTTTATTTTCAATTGCAACCAGTTCTGTTTCGATCTAAAAAAAAAATTTTTTTGATTGCCACTTACTCTTTTTTGCCCTCAAATCTCTTTTTTGGTTTCAAATAAAGGAACAAAATTCTCTCCATACAATGGCATTTTTTGCAAAATAACTCAAAATGCAGTTTTCCAAGTTATGCAAAACAGAGTTTTAAAACACTTAATAGTTTCTAAAGGATTGAAAACCTAAATCTGTTGTATTTTCTGCATTAGAGGGGATAATTCTTCTTCAATCAAAGCTATTTAAATCAAAAACATCTTTACAGATCGAGTTACATAGTAACATAGGAGCCCTTCTTTGATACATCTTTGATTAACAACTCTCTCACCCATTGAACTTTTAAGTCCATGTACAGTTTCTGCCTGTATTTCCTTTGAGGATGCCAGAATTGCCTCCCAGAGCTGCTGTTTTGAGGTAAACTGCCACCCACCCTCATAGATCTTCCTTTTAAGGATGCTCCACAGGTTCTCAGTAGGGTTGAGGTCAGGAGATGATGGTGGCCACACCGTGATTCTTTCTCCCTTAATGCCCATAGCGGCCTAGGCCTCAATGGTATTTGTTGCAGCATGGGATGGTGCGTTGTCTTACATGAAAATGATTTTGCTCCGGAAGGCACGGTTCTTCTTTTTATACCATGGCAGGAAATGGGCAGTTAGGAACTCCACATATTTTGCAGAGGTCATTCTGACACCTTCAGGCACCTTAAAGGGGCCTACCAACTCACTTCCCATGATTCCAGCCCAAAACATCACTCCACCACCTCCTTGCTGACGTCACAGCCTTGTTGGGACATGGTGGCCATCCAGAACTCCATCCACCTGGACCATCCAGTGTAGCACGGCATTCATCAGTGAATAAAACTGTTAGACAATTAGTCTTCATGTATTTCTGAGCCCACTACAATCATGTCTCCTTGTGGGCATTGTTTAAGGGTGGCCGAAATACAGCTTTATGCACATCAGCAAGCCACTGGAGGATCCTGCGTCGAGAGGATCTTGGGACTCCAGAGGCACCAGCAGCTTCAAATACCTTTTTTACAACTCATCAGTGGCTTTTTCCACAGCTGCTCTCTTAATACGAGGAATTAGCCTTACAGAAACTTTCCTTAATACGCCTTTTTCTGAACGAACCCGCCTGCGCTGTGAATCAGACACAAATCTTTTACAGGACGATCTCTCTTAATAGTTTGTAAAATATCCACTTGTTTCATACCTTTGGAAAGATACTGCACTATTTCACACTTTTCATCTGCAGAAAGATATTTTTTTCCCCTATATTACATGAAACCTGTGACTTGCTTAATAATATGGAACAACATCCTTAAGAAGTTTCCCATTAATTAGGCTCACCTGGCAAACTGATAAAGACAAACCTGTCTGAGATTGATGTCAGTGATCTAAACAGACATGCAAAGCAGCACAATTGAAAACTTTCATTGAAAAACAAAAAATCTAATGTTTCTTTAATTAAAATCATATTTGCATAATAATTTGGAACACTGTGTATATATATATACATATAAAGATATATTAACTCACTTGTCTGAGTTGTGCATAATTATTATCTCTGAGCCTGTGTTAGGATAACAAATCACACTCTATGAGGGGCCCAGTGGTTGGTCTGAGTTGACAAGATCAAGCTTTCCAACACTAGAATTGGACATGTGAAGTAAATATTATTAATTTTCAAAGAATGAGACTGACTCGAGTCCACACCTCTGATTTGTAATAATACGTTTTATATCATTTACCTTGTTAGATACAGGTAAAGTGCAAACATGACAAAGAATTACTATGATGTCTCAGAAGCAAGTTGACGCCGCGTCCTACTATAAAGGAAACTGCCAATAAAGGCAATAAGATGGTCTACTCACAGTTTGAGGCACTGGGATCTGGTGCAGTGGCAGGGTTTCCTGGACCTTGATTCACACACGGTTCTATGGGGGGTAAAGGGGAAGTCCACATTAAATAAAGCTCAATGTATAACACCAGTAATCAGCTGCTGACACATACTCTCCAGAACATATACTCTCTTAAAGAACCATAGTGAGGCCTGCAGGTGCATTGTTTTATAATATGTAGGACCACATACACACACGTTATAACTGAGTCAAGGCCTTTAGTGCCAGTTCCATTCGCTACTGAGTTAGTTTTCAAAGGGAGTGTTCAGATGTAGCATCTTCTCTGTGCGCTTCTACATTATTTTGAACGTGTGATGTGCGTGCTCAAAACCGAAAGCAACGATGTGATGGAATAATCTAAATTCAAAGACAACTAGGCGCAGCAGTAGTCTAACCTCCCAAGCACCTTGAATAAAATGATGGAATCAGCGCAGTTGGCATTTTTCACGCATTTTCAGACAAAACATCTGAAACTAAGTCTTTAAGGAAGTAAATAAATATGGGTTGATTACCATCAGCTGAGACAGTACAGTGAGAAATATTGAGTTTGGGAATTGTTACGAAAGGTCGTTGAATCAAAACATTGCTATAAATGATTTTTCCCTCTTTTTCTCATGTACTTAAATTAAGTTGATTTTAATTGATTTATCCTTTTTCAAAACAAAATTCTTTAGCCTTTGTTCACTGTGTTTTTGAGACACAAGACTTTTAAGACCGTCATGCCTGCCTGTGGTCACTGCTTCAGGCACTAGAGGCAAGAATCCCATTTTGGCTTCAGTTCCACAGTTCTTACTGTGCTGCAGGGACTTGAGGCTGCATGTTGGCTGTCTGATCTCTGGACTCATACAGGGGAAAAGCTGCCTGGGGGTACTCAGGAAGCTATATATGAATGAACAATTGAATACATGAATAACAATCTATTAATCAATGAATTCATGAATCGATTGATAAGTCACGATATATGGAGCTGGGGCTACTGGGGAAGTCTGCCCTTTACAGAGACAGTTGATTTCTGGGTTGAAATGGAGCAAACTTTCTTTTCCTACCTGGCTGGGAGTGTCCAGCACACTCACACCTGGAAAACACAAAGGAGCACATGGTTACTACAGAAATAAATGTTCACTTTAATCAAATGTATGTAAGTCATTTATGGGCTCCAGCTGTGTTGTGATTGTGTGTCATAACAAGTTAATATAAGTGACACACTCACTAAGATGGTTATTACACACTTCTCTGGACTTAATTTATAGGTTGTTTAAATTTGTTCTGCTCAGGTGCAGCTGCTATTGGATTGGATGTTCAATATGATGGAAGATGTGTAACAGTAACAGTTACTTAGGATTCAATATATTGCGATACAGTAAGCAAGGCGATATTGCGAAAGATTTTTTTGTATTTATCAAAGTCCCTGTAAAATCCAACATCATAGCTCCAGTTAATTTTTACATCACTGCTATCTAGCAGTTGGGGGTTTAAACACAAAAATCAATACGGTGTTTTGGAGAATCGATACAATATCACCAAACAAATATTATAATATGATATTTTTCTACATTTTCTTATACCTGAGTGGAGGGTCTCAAAGCCATGTTGTTCATTCTTTGTTACCTGCTTGTTGATGTGATTGTTTCATACTTGCACAAACTACACCACACAACACTAACCCTTGTAAACTTTGTCCTCAACTTTGCCTTGAGTCGGGGCCTCATCTCTGTGCAGGGGTGCGGATTTCAGGGTAAGGAGCACAGGTCCGGGATCACAGGGGTTAACCAGCACCACCTGTCCACCTCCGCTCACATTACACACCACCTACACAGATAAACAGAAGACTGCAATGATTAGTTGATTATCGATAACTTAATCAGAAAAATAACTGGCAACTATTATTATTATTGATTCACTCCTGAAGTCAGTTTTATTTTTCTTTGTCTTATGTATGATAGAAACTGGCCATGATTGGGTGTTGGACTGTAGGTCGGACAAAACCAGACATTTGAAAAAATCACGTTAGAAACTGTAACCAGCATTTTGTACTTTTTCCTGATGTTTAATAGATTAAACAATGAATTGAAAACATAATCGTCAAATTAACTGACAACGAAAATAACTTTTCTGACAGGAAACACAAGTGTTAGCAATGACACTAATTAAGGCATTGTTCCATTTAGTTAGTAGAGGCATTCCAGTCAGCCAAATAGAACTGTGTTATATTAAGAGCTAGTTTAAATTTATATGAAACAACTTGAAAAATGCCAAGCAGCAAAAGGCCACGAGTCGGAGTAGAACCCATACATTACATTATTGTGGGACAACAAAGCTTGTGTCATACAGTTTTAAGATTTCTCCTCAATTTGCAAACTACAGTCTAACAATAGGCTTATTGAATTGATATTCTATATGCAGACATACCAGGGCTGGGTCTACTGCCCTTTCAGTCTATTTAGGAAAGCAATTTCCCACACGCTCTCTCAAAGTTGACATACTTGGTGATGCTAGGGCTGGGCGATAAATCGATTTTATCGATTAATTCGAATTCGTAGTTAAACACGATTTATTTTTAGTTAAAATCGGTTTTCTCTTGAACTTCCACAACACCAGCGCTCCCTTTGGGCTCCCGTAGGTCAGAGTGCGCTGACCCCTCCCCCCGCCTCTCCACAGATACACACAACATGGCAGCAAGCCAGGATGAGCTTGTCCCCCAAAAAGGCACAGTGTCGTCGGTTGTTTGGAACTGGTTTGGTTTTGTAGCGCTCGACAACGAACAAACCACGACCCACTGCAAAGTTTGTTTGAAAGCTGTTGCAACCAAAGGTAGCAGTACGACCAATTTATTCCAGCACCTCAAGCAAAGGCATGCAGCCGAGTGGGAGAAATGTTGCTCTCTGCGAACTACACAGGACCGCAGCCCATAAAAAACTTGCTAAAAAACTACAAAAAACTAAAAATCAGACATTTTATTTTTAAGCCATATCGCCCAGCCCTAGGTGATGCCCATAATTATATTGGCCTATAGAAATCAGTGGAAACAGAATTGAACTAAACTTTCACGTTGAATGGACTGAAATAAATAAATCTGTTTTCCCCTTGTGCTGACAGTAGAACTTACAGGCTGTGTAAGGTGGGGTCCCTCCCGAAACTGCTGATGGTCCATGGCCTGTGGTACACACATACTGGCTACAGGGGCATGTAGGTCCCCCTAAAAACACACAAGACACACTTACACACATAAAAACTCACAATAACTCTCATAACGGTTAAATAACTCACCGGCATCATGCTGCAGAGAACGGGTTCATTAGTAAACCAGGAACCAGAAACAGAACTGCAATGGCTGCTGTCTGGTGGACTAGGCATAGGGATGAGGAAAACAAGTCACCTTACCATTTCAAACACATCTCTGGCATTAGCTCTTACATTGTTACTGCCCAAGAAACACTGATATAATTCTAATACTGAAATATACAAGAGACTGTTCATTTATTTGATTTTGATGTTTGAAGTTTGTAGCACCTGAACCTGCACTCTCAAATTAATCTTCGGGTTCCTAGCTTTCAGATGATGATTCAGACTTCTATGTGACATATACTGTTGACCTGCTATCACTACCTAAAGGTCCCCTGCCCCCCCGTAAAAAAGACAAAAATTGGTTCTGTAGGGAGGGGTGAAGAGGAAGAGGGTCGGCCCATTCCTCTCAGAGTCCCTGTGTCATTCTTAAAGCTTCCACCAGATGGCTCAAATGTATAAAATGTTGTTCAAAAGTTGCCGATGTAGATAGTAGCATTTGACAGTGTGTTTACTGGTGAACACTGTTCCAAGGAGACTTACCCGGTCAGGAGGTGATACTGACTCAGCTGGGGCTCCAGGAGGTAGTCTGGATAGGTCAGCTGACACTGGGTGGACTGACATGGACAGTGGAACCTGCAGCCCAAAATATAGATCATAAAAAGATATGGACTGTGAGTCATTTTGGTAACCACTGACAGAGAAACAAGAAAAGAGAAATGAATACAAATGATCAAAGTAAGAAAAAAACTAAATTGCTTAGGGAATGAACATTAAACCTTAGGCTGAGAGGGTCCAACATTCCTGGCTGGATAGTATGCTGGTGAGAATGGGGAACTACTCCAGGCAGACTGATATCTGAAGGGGGGGCTGCCCATACAGGAGGGACTCCAGCAGGGCCAGGGTGTACATCACTGTCCTTTACAGAGCCACAGTCTTTTGAAGAATGGTCATTAGTGTCAGTATATTCCTGTTTCCTCTGTGGTGTGTTCAGCTCTTTCATAGGGTTATTCATCCCCCCAGCATGGTAATCACCTGCTTTAATCAAACATTAGTGACATATAAAGATGTTACAATTTGCACGAAATGGATATATACATATATGGATTGTGATGAAGGGCGAGATGAAGAGTATTGAAAAAAGAAGGGTCGGATGAATGAAAATTGAGGCAAAGGGTACAAAAGAATAAGAAAAGATCACAAAGAAAGATCAAAAAGTGAGGAAGAAGGCATAAGCGAGTTCAGAGGAAAGACCTGAGAAATGTATTGTCATTAAAAGGTTTAATGAAAAGGCTCAAGGAAGTTAATCTGTTCTGGCAAGTAAGATTGGGGAAACACAATACGCTAAGGTTCTTATTGATGGCAATCTATTGGTGAGGTGTGCAAATGAGGAACAACTTGAGAAAGCAGATTAAAAGAAATAGAAAAAAATAAGGTGGACAGCACAGGAAGGGTGGGAGCACGAAATGTTGGTGGATGTAAAGGAGTGATCACTGGGGGGCATAAACGGGGGTATGGAGGAGAGAAATGTAAAAGGAGGAAAAATAATGAATGCACAAAGACTGAAAACAACAAGAGGAGTGAAAAGGGATAGTGAAACAGTGTTGATTGAGTTTGAAGGAGATATTGTACCAAAGAAGGTATTCTTGGGTTTTCTGAGTTACCCAGTGAGAGTTTATGTTCCAAAGCCATTGAGGTGCTTTAATTGTCAAAGGTCTGGACACACAGCTAAAAACTATAAAGAGAAGAGGAGATGTGCTGGATGTGGGGGTGACCATGAGTATGGAAAGTGTGGAACAGGGTTGCAACCAAAATGCTGGAACTGTAGAGGAGCACATAATGTGTCATATCGTGGATGTGAGGTTATGAAGAGGGACAATAAAATTCAAAAAGTAAGAGTGGAAAGAAGAATCACGTATGCAGAAAGTGTAAGAGTGTCAAGGGGACAGAGCAATGTGAATAATGAACAAGAAGACATGCAGCAAAGAACAAATGATAGGATTTTTGTGGCTAAAGGGGCCTTAGTTACATTCATTGCAGTGAGTGACTAACAGTACAGCTGAAGTAAATTCAAAAAATGATTAAATACATTTTTTAGAGCAGTAAACAAATGAAGACCAACCTCTCCTGGGAAAGATCAGCTATGTCTAAGCAAACCTGGCAACGATCCATCTAAATCATATATATCAAATATATGCAAGATAATGGAAAGGATGATAACTGAAAGGCTATCATCTGAGCTTGATAGTAAAGGAATGATAGCAAGCTATCAGAGTGGTTTCAGAAAAAGAAAGAATGCCAGTGATAAGGTTAGAAACTGAAATAAGAAAAGCCCAGGCGAATAAAGACTCAGTAATTAGTGTTTTTGGACATAGAAAAAGCATATGACATGATGTGGTAGGAAGGGTTGTTAGTTAAGCTGCACAAGATGGGAGTAGGTGGGATTTTTCAACTGGATAAAGGATTTTCTGTTTGGAAGAAAAATTCAAGAACAGATTGGATCAGATTTGTCCAATCAATATTCATTTGGAAACAGTAAACTTCAAGGAACTGTGGTAAGTCCACTACTTTTTATCATTATGATCAATGATGTGTTCGCAAATGTACAAGTGAATATAAGAAGGTCACTGTTTGCAATGATGGGGCCCTGTGGAAAAGAGGAAGGAACATAGAGTATCCATTCAGAAGAGTTCAAGAAGGAATTGATGAGATAGTGGAGTGGGGATATGATTGGGGTTGCACCCCCAATGGAATGGAAAAAACTCAACAGGAAAATAGGAAAAAAAAATTGGGGAGTTCTTTTTTATGCAAGATTAACATGAGCAGACCATATCAGGACTTAACTAACTAACTTAACTAATTTAACTGGTTAGCACCACGCTAATAGCAATTAGCATAACACTACCTAACGTTAGCTCCCTGTACATTTAATGTTAATTTAAATTAAATGAACGTTCGTAACATTTAAATTGTGCTTCCCTTATTAGCAACACAAAGTATTAGCCAAATGTCGCGGTAGCATTTCTAGTGAGTTACTGAATCAATTCCAATGTTTTAACTTTAACTAAAAGGCGACCAGAATGAAAGGGATAGCTTTACATTACCGGTAGCTAGCGCTGTTTGTTCAGGCTGCAGTAACGCTGACGTTGGATTATTTTCATAATCCGACTGATTAACTGACATTTCCGCTTTTTTTTCAATAATGCAGCGCTCGTTTTGGTACATATGTAACGTTATGATGACAATGACCAATCCTGTCAGAAGTCTAGAGCTAAAAGACTGGCATTGGACTAGTGGTAAGCACTTAGCTTGTCCTGTGGACTACTATTACTTTCGGAGGTGAATAAATTGAGCCCACTGTTGCTACGAACTACAAACACAATGGTGCCTTTAGGTGACATCACAAGTGTCGAAATTAGGAAATCTACTTTACTTTAATAACTACTAACGCGAGAGAATGTCTATATTTTATATTTAATTTGCTGAGACGTGGCCATATCAGCATGTTGAACTGAAAAGGTAATACTATAATACTTTTTTACTTTCATATTTCACACTGTACTGTAAAAAAAAAAAGGGGGGGGGCGGGAAGTCTAAAATGTATTTGAACAAATTAAGTAAGCGTGTTCAGAACATCAAAGTAAGCTGACCTGAAATCTATATGTCAAAATAGTGTGTGCTTAATGCACATTTGGCTTCTTAAATCTGCTGTTTCAACCAAAACTTTTCTGAAAACCTCTTGTAAGATTCAGATTTACGAGCAGCAGTGAAGGCAGCATCAACCCAACCAATTCATGCTGGTAGCGGGCTCGAGCAGAGGAGTAGGACTACAGCTGGTGAAAGAGCCGGCTAAAGGCAGCAGCAGACCCGCTACGATCATAGCGACAGCACGCAATCCGACTGCCTCCACGGTAATAAACATCTAGCGTTAGATAAAATAAAATAATACTTTTAAACGAATGTTCTATAAATGCTCAACATCAACACAACCACACCAAACGCATATGAGCCCTTCCAATACTAGCGTTATCTGCCGAGACAACGCTACACCAGACTCCATTCAAAACTCCAGACATTGAGGTGACAAGCTGGCTGATTGCGCGCAACTCTTGTTCTATTGTAGTGGCATATGTCCATTGTTGGTTTCTGGTATGCCGATGGCGGTTTACTGGCTCATGGCCTTATTGAAGAGAAGACTGCCCTCAGCTCCTTTTATTTATAATATTGCCGACGTTTTGACTACTTTCTGTCTTTCTGAAGTTCAATACATGTGTCAGATACAACCTCATATACAGTACAGCTGTGCAGAATTCTGGAGTTGTTTTTCTTGTTTTATCATTATTTCTTTGTTTAATCAGAACCAGTATTTTTTATATTAAATAACAGGTTTATGTTTACCAGCTCCATATACCCTTTTTGAGGAAATCAATGGTGTAGTGAAAAGACTAAATTAAAAATAATTTTATGTGGGGCAAAAGTTAGTGAACCCTGTGCTGCATTGCTTAAAACAAGAAGGTAAATATGATCAGGTTGCACAAAATGTTGGTTACATAAAGTGGTACCCAACCTGGGAGTCGGGATCCCCACTAGGGGTCTCCATAGCTTCACAAGGGGGTTGCAAGACCTTATTGATTTTAAGGGCTGTAAACTTTAAAAAATGTATTCTGTAGATTGATATAAACTTTATTTTCTGCCTGGGGAAATTTAACTTGGGCTCAACAAAGCTAGACTCATAAATATATGTGTGGGAACACAACAACAGCAAATACACATAAATACAATAACAAAGACAAATACACACTGTGAGGCAGCAGTCAGATTATGGTTATGTGCTGCAGTACAGCCTCCTCTACTCATTTTAAGCCAATATTTAAAACTCTGACTGGAACAGGCACAAAGGAGTTCTTAAACCGATTCAGTTAACATATATATATATCGTCTGCCTGATGGTAACAGCTCATACTGGGAGAAGAGAATGGGTGATAGATCACAGATTCCATCTCTGATAACACTCTCCTTAACAGGCTGATAAAACAAAAACATAATTTTCTGGTTGACTCCATACAGATGCAGCCTTTGTAAAAAACAGTCTCTGGAGTAGTTGAGAACATAACTGATCAACATGAGTATTCCAAGTTGAAGTGCAATCAGCATGGACACCAATATACTTATAGGACTGAACTTGTGTAATTGGCTGATAATAAACACCAGGCTGCAATCACAAACTTCCTTGGGATCAAAGATAATTTCTCATTTTTTTAACATCTAGAACTCAATGGTTGGCATTGCACCAATCAATTCCTTTACTTCTGAGTGGTAGATGTTTGTATCGTTGTGCCTAGAAAGTAAGCCTATGCATAGCATAATGGCATAGCAGAGTCATCTGAGCATTTGAACATGTAGTTCTGTGAGTGCTTGGATGAGCACTCATTTGTGTACAGGGTGAAAAGAACAGGGGAACCTTGTGGAGCTCCAATACTGATGGTTTTCAGCTGAGACATACTGTTATTCACCTTTACCCACTGAGTTCTGTTTGTTAACAATGAATGATACCTCTTGATAACTGCGGAGTTAACATCCAGTTGTCTGAGTTTGTGAATTAAAAGGTATGGCAATCAATAAAAAGCAGCCAAGCATAAGCTCCACTGTCCTCAAGATGTTTTAAAACCAAGTACATGAAAGCTGTGATAGCATCGTCTGTACTTTGCCTTTCATCACAACTAATGTCAGAGCAACTGGTCTAAAATCATTGTTTTCAGTTGGATGTGCTTTCCTGGGTACATGAATAATTACAGAGCTTTTCCAAAGAGCAGGAACCATTTAATATCGAAGGATAATACCTCTGTGCTTGTGTTAGAGAGAGAGATCCAGTCCGGTCCCAAAGCCTTCTTCAGTGGGACATGTTTAAAAAGATACTGTATATATTGTGGATTGATCAGTCGTCTATTCTAACAATCTCAGTGGGGCTCAGTCCAAGTCCTTGATACACTCTGAAAAGTAATGAAAGTTAAAAAAAATAATAATAATTTAATCATTAGCCATTTGTAGGCCTATATCTCAGGATTTTGTTCATTTCTTGAAGAAAACTAAATTAAATTACTTGCTTAGTAGTATTTAACAGTCATACTGTTAAATATTTAAAAATGCACAATCTTAAAATTGCATCTCTGATGGAAGAATTGTTCTGGATCATTTCTATTTACTCAACTTCCCTCTTAATTTAGGATCTGCAGGAGCTGCCCAAAACCAACCGAGGGGGTTCATGTTGTGACATTAGGTGAGTCTGCATACTGTCCTACTGTGAAGCTGAGCATTCCACGAATCCTAGAAAACCTGGGAATTTAGAGACCAGTTTTCCAGCTATCTTTGATCGATACACTAACAGAATTAACTCTAACTATATCCATGGTTGAACACAATAGAAATCATCCTGTTCTTTTTAAGGTTTCCTGTCATTTTCCAGATGTGGACAGCCACATCTGCTCAGCTGTGTAGGAAGTCCAGTCCATTGTAGGAAACAATGGACTGAGCTGTAAATGGTAAATGGTAAATGGACCTGTACTTGTATAGCACCTTTCTAGTCTTCCAACCACTCAAAGCGCTTTTACACTACATGGCACATTCACCCTTTCACACACATTCACTCAGTGATAGCAAAGTCCATCAAACAGAAACGTACTCATTCACACACATTCATACACTGATGCACAGTATCAGGAGCAATTTGGGGTTCAGTATCTTGCTCAAAGATACTTCGACACGTGGCGGGAGGAGCCGGGGATTGAATCAGCAACCTTCCGATTAGTGGACGACTTGCTCTACCTCTGCACCCAGCCGCCCATTGTCTGATCAATAATGCTGCTGCCGGACTCTCCATGGACATAAACACTGTTACCCCAGAGGCCACGATGAAGACCTTCAAGGTCAACACAGTTGCACCACTCTTCATCACAAAGGTAGGCCAACATTCTGCAAAGCAGAATTATTGGTTACTGCAATCCTTCTGTTTCTCCACACTGACTATATTGTAGGAAGACACACACGCACACACTCTTTATTCTGTGTAAAACTGCATTCTAGGGGCGTCCTGGTTGCTCACCTGGTACAGCCGGCACCCCATTTGCCGGGAATGCGTTCTTGCTGCAGCAGCCATGGGTTTGAGTCTGACCTGTTGCCCTTTACTGCATGGCATCCCCTCTGTCTCTCTACCCCTTTCCTAATAATATTAATAATAATAATAATAATACATTTTGTGGAGGTGGGTGTGGTTTATACTCAGCTACAGGAGAGAGAGGTGTGGGGAAGGCTTGTGAGAGCAGCGCCAGGTGACTTGATGTTCTCAGCTGGTACTCACTGAGTAATCACTCTCTTCATATTTTTCCTCTTATATTGCAGTAGTGTGCTGGACCTGGGCTGGCGGACAGACAAGTGAGAGCATGACAACTCTTCAGCTATCATTGTCAATTGATGGCAATTAAAGCCCAAAGAACTGCATTCTAAAGTTGAGCTGAAGCTGGTAGGAGGCTTCAGCATACAGAGTTTCACAAATCATGTGGGTATCTTTTTTCTAGCAGTCGGGTGTAGTTTTCACTGCGTTATGTCCGAGCAAAACACACAGTACATTCGCCAGGATGTATCCCTCCTCCGATCTATGGAAACACGTACAAGTATAAAAAATGTAAAAAATATTAAGTACTCAATGTGTCTAAGTCAGACAACTGAAGTCTCCTAATTTTAGGAGTAATTTAAAACTTTATTGTTTTTAAAATTTATTTTGACACCCATCTCCAACACTGCGGTCATTTTATGAAAAACCCAGTATGCAACTTGAAGCCACCAGTGCACATACACTGAGAATGAACACAGTAGTGTTTATAATGAAGGGAATTCAGTAAGCCACTGTTGTTGGTTCAGCTCATGAAAGCTTCCTCTTTTTTTATCACCCAGAACTGATTGCAACCTTGAACTTTAAATGCATGATTTTTGTTTGCAACCGTGCATCCACACTATGAAGACAACCCTGAGGGGAAAACGATGTGGAATCTGACGTTGTAAAGACATACATTATGTGAGATCTGGTGCAAATCAAACTGCAAGAGGCATCCCAAATACACACACAGACAAGGAGGGCTCGACAGTCAGTCAGCACTCATGAGGGAATGAAGACAAACACACAGAAAGAAAATGAATTTCCCTACAGGGATCAATAAAGGATAACTTGACTTATAATTTTTTTTTATTGTATTGTATAGTTTCTTTTACATCATTTTTTTTGGGGGGGGCTTTTATTGCCTTAAATTGACAGTGAGAAAGGGGGGGGGGGTGACGCGCAGCAAATGGGCACAGGTCGGATTCAAACTCTTACTGAAAATATGTTCATTATCAGATTTTTCTTTTTCTTTTTAACTTTAAAACTTAGTTTTACCTTTTACAGGTCCGAACTATTCAAACAAATGAGCGTGCAAGTCATTTGACCAGGCATACATGATAGATCGATCGATCGATAGATAGATAGATAGATAGATAGATAGATAGATAGATAGATAGATAGAAATTGTTATTTATCCCCGAAGGGAAATTATAATGTTATAGCAGCTGATTAAGAGTTAATTATTATTATTAACATAGAAGTGTAAACTTTAACATTGCTACTGTTGTTGTTGTGCAGCTTTGTCTTTGTCTCTGTCCTTCTCTCATTACTGTCTGTTGTCCCGGTTTCACTCTGCTGCCAGACCATGGTGATATGATATGGATCAATTTCAAATCAAAACTTTTTCTCTTTATTGTGGTTTTTGTGTGATCGGCCACTTATTAGTTAGCTTTTTCCACAGCCCTGACTGGATCATTTCAAAATACTATCCAGAATGGACAAAATTGCTGGTCTATTGTTGCTGCAAGGACAAGGAGAATCAAGCTTTTCAAAAACACTTTATTTTTTTCACATTTGTAGTCATTATGTAGCACTTTCGTCTGGTGGCAACTGTGTAAATGGTAAATGGACCTATACTTGTATAGCGCCTTTGTAGTCTTCCGATCACTCAAAGCACTTTTACACTACGTGCCACATTCACCCTTTCACACACATTCACTCAGTGATGCACGTCATCTTGCACAAGGACACTTTGACATGCAGCGAGAGGAGCTGGGGAACGAACCAACAACCTTCCGATTAGTGGATGACCTGCTCTGCCTCTGAACCACAGTGTATCATTTCTGTCACTGGTCACTATATGTGTATCTGTCATAAGAATTTAATTAATTGATAAATGTGTGTCAGATTGTGTGTAGTTGATTTTTCAATGTAACCTAGATTATTAATTTTTTTCCTTTACGCTGCTTTTTTTATATGCTTGATTTTTTGGGATTATCCATTTTCTACACTTGGCTTTGCCGCACTGTATGTTCTGTGATCATCGTAGCTGATCCTTTCTGCTTGTTGCTCTTGTGTTCTGGCCTTCTTGCTTCTAGCTCAGTCCACCGGGACGGGGATCCACAGAGCAGCCGTTATCAATATCTCCTTCATCCTCGGCTCCATTGCGCACAACTGGGGTGAGGGTGCCAACTTTAAGACCTACGCCTACTGGACCTCCAAGGTCAGAAGGCAGAATTTTGGTACAAAATAATGACAGAATTCAGTTTTGTGAGTAATGTGGCGATGTACGCTCTTTGTTTAAAGACAGTAGGAAAGGAGGTTTTTTTGCTTACCAAACTTTCTAATTATCACAGGCAGCACTTAACATGGTGACAAGGTGTCTAGCTGCTGATTTGGGGTCAGATGGAATCTTGTATATGTCTCTGCACCCTGGATGGGTCAAAACTGATATCGGAGGACCTCATGTAAGTATTTTACCATTTCCTAACTTTAAGCTGCATTTATAGATTTTTTAGGCCATCTGGGGGCAGAGGAACTCCACAACAACCTGAAAACATAGGCTCTAACATGTTCTGTCTTGTCTTACTGCAGTGAATCGTTAGTTAAATGTATGCACCTTGGAACAGCAGCCAACAATTCAATTTAATTTCAGTTAAATTTTATTTGTATAGCGCCAATTCATAACAGAAGTTATTTCAGGACACTTTTCAAATAGAGCAGGTCTAGACCAAACTCTTTATAACATTATTTACAGAGACCCAACAGTACCACCATGAGCAAGACCTTGGCGATGACGGCAAGGAAAAACTGCCTTATAAGAGGCAGAAACCTAGGACAGATCCTTCAGCTCTAGGTGGGTGGTCGTCTGTCTCGATCGGACCACACGGGCCAGCCTTCCCTCCCCATATGCATCAATGAGCCTTGACCACCCTTGACCCTGTCTCCGGTTCACCGCTTTTCCTTCCGTGGAGCACTTTTGATAGGCACTGACCACTGCTGACAGGGAACACCACACAATAACTGCAGTTTTGGAGATGCTCTGACCCAGTTGTCTAGCCATCACAATTTGGCCCTTGTCAAAGTCGCTTTAATCGTCACGCTGCCCATTTTTCCTGCTTCTAACACATGGTGTCATGATAACCAGATAATCAGTGTTATTTACTTCACCTGTCAGTGCTCATAATGTTAGGGCTGATCGATGTAATTGACAGGGAATAACTTTTAGTGAATGATGGTAACATGTCAAAAAGGTCTAATCTTCTTCAAGATCTATCTGTTGGTTTTTTAAAATTGATGTCAGTGAGATATTGTGTTGTTGTTTTACTGATTTTAGTACACTAATAGCAAAAGGTTATACAGAATTGGTGCAAATCTTTAAATGGCTTCAGTTGAACAAACCATTTTGACATAGTAAGTCACCACCCTTTCTAAGTTCCACCCCTTTTTGTTCTGTGCTCCAACAATAGTTGAGCAAGCCTCAGTCATAAACTTAAGATAAGATGTACCTTTATTGATCCCCCATAGAAGAAATTCAAGAAACCTTGTTATGTTATGTGCTAGGCTCATCTATGTTGAAAAGACAACCACATTTTTTGGTAAAGTCACATCTTACGTTTGTAAATGTTAGCAAAACATTGATGTAAATAGATTAGTTAGCTTGTATTTTGCTAACATTAGCGTGCTGCTTTAAGATGTGCATTTGTATATATATATATAATCACATAGTACAGCATCTAAGTACAGGAAAGGAGGAAGTTGATCAAGGCTTCTGAGCCGAGGTTCTGACTGAGGCTTGCCCAACTGCTATTGGAGCACAGAGCAAAAAGGGGCGGGACTTAGGAGAGGTAAATTAAAGAAAATGTCAAAATGGTGGTGGTAAAATAAAATTTGACATGGTGTCTTATAATTATTATTTTTTCATTAGTTGGCAGAAGTGAGCTTCCACATAGAAAGCCTTCCACATAGAAAGCCTACTATTACTTTTAAAAGTAATAGTAATAATGAATATGTACCAAAATAATCTCACTGACTTTGATGGTCAAGATAATATTCCTCCGGAACCTAATGATAAACACAAAGTGAGGAGACGATCTACAGGATCTACTATAATTTCAAGTACTTTACAACATTAAACATTATCTTAATCTTAAATAACAGTTGACAAAGAAACATATCCATGTCTCCAAGGACTGTGTCCATTATTTTTTGGTGCTCTGCCTATCCAGTAAAGCAATTTGTATTGTAGCCATGGACCATAAAGTCAGACATTTTACAGTATAATGAACAAGGTGAGGCATGTATTACTTGTTTTAAACTCAGTTGCAGCTGAAACCAATGTGATAAATATTGTGTAAGTGATAAGTGTGACTCATGGAAAGGAATAAACTCAAGTTGTCCAGTGCCATTTGTTTATTTATTCACTCCATTCTCTTAGATCAGATGATAGAATATTAAGATGATAATACAGTGTTGGTTTCTGAACAGAAGTCCCTATTACCTAGATCCACCTACAGTCAGTAGACACTGACTGAACTTCGGCAGATGTAAAGTTTTATTTACACAAGAGCAGAAAGATGTGATATTTTTATTGGGGAACAATCGATCTCTGTCACAAAAAGTTACAGAATCAGATCTTTGGTACCAGGACAAAATCAGCGTCAGTGTGAATGGAGCTACAATAAGGTGACATTTAGGGCGGCAGGAGCCCAGACAGCAGAAAGATAGACTTGGGTAGAGGGAGATGAACTGTAGAGAGGCAGAAACTTTAGGGACTGGCCAATTCATCTGATGTCACAGAGGAAGGCAGGCTGTCCAGGGCTCCCATCTCTGTAAGCACACACAAACATGGATTTTTTAGAGAACATTACTATAGACATACGTGTCAGAAAAAAGGTTTGTCAGTTCAACCAATGTCAAAATCCTCAAAGCTATTACTTCCTAACCCACCAGTATCTGCCAGGTAGAGTTGCAATGGTATGATGAACAGTATGTTATATTTATCATTAGTTACCATGACCCTCAAAGGAATGAGAACAGAAATGAAGCATTTTATTTGTATGTATTAATAACTTTTTATTTCCAATGTTTGAACGGGTTGTAACATAACTTTAACTGACTTCCCCTGTCTTTCCTGGTTGTTTGTGGACTGATATTATGGGACAGATTTTCTACAAACATTCAAAGGTTCGTTAGTATTTGATTTCCCATCAACTTACTGTCACTTCTGAATGCAGAAAACTCTGTGGTCTTGAACACACCCACAGACGTCTGACAATCCTCACTTTCAAGTTAGTTCAAACAGAAGAGATAAACATACCTTTAAGTTTGAGGTATGACAGGAAGTCAATGACAGTGTGGATGATGTCTCCATCTGCTATTCTGAGGGAACCTGTGGAGGCAAAGCAACAAAGTACAGCCTGTTATCGTCATCTAAAGTCGGAAGTACACTGTAAGGAGCTCTGGTAACAACATATGGGGAATTTAATATCTCCAGATACTAACCTATTTTTGATATCCTCTTCAAATTCTCCAACATGACAGAGATTTGAATTACAGAAAAAACTGAACCAAACAATACATGATATAAAATAAATCAGCATTCTGGTGAAGTCCAGTGACCTAACGTTAAGCAGAATGCTTCTGAAAGTGGCTTTAGCCAGTGCGAAGTTTGCTAGAGGGTCCCAAGGTTGTTGGAAGGGTTTTCGTGGAGGTTTTTAGAGTATTGCTAGGTGGTTGCTTTTGTGTTTGCACTGTAAAACATATTGCAGGAATTCAGAGGAATAAACTTAAATGCTGTATATACTTTATATAAATTACAAGTAAATTCAGCTGTCTAGTTTTAATTTTTAGGCACATTTCAGAACTTGTTCTCTTTACTGGAAATGAGTTGAATGAATGTTCAGTTGTAATCTGCAACTACCTGCTAACCACTAGATGCCAAAATTCTACACACTGGTACTTGAAGTTGCCTGCCTAATGTTAGCTAAATCCTAGCTAACTAATGTATATCAATTGTAAGCTTATTCAGTAGTTAGCTAGTGTTTGGCTGCAGAACCAAACACAAACTAGCAAATCTACCTTGAGTGTTAGCCAGATAGATACAGCTGAAAGCGGTTGTTAGCAAAATGCTAGCCAACTAGCAAAGTCATTTAACGTTACATCACTATTTAGTTAGCTTGTTAGCTAATGTTTTGGAAAAATTAGCTAAAATGTGACTATATTTATCTCACCTTTATCTTTTAACCATCTTTAAAATGTAGTTGTCTTTTCAACATAGCCTAGCACATAGCATATCCAAGGAAAAGGAAAGGAGGAAGTTGACCAAGGTTCCGCTATCTACCTCGCTCAACTGCACAAGGAAAAGGGGCTGGACTCAGGAAGGGTTAATGATGGTGCTATCCATTTGTCTCGTAAATCCCCCGCCTGAGTTGCTCTGACGCGCGAACGTGACGTAATTGCCTGGCTTGTACCACTTACAGCGTTCCAGTTTGTCTTTGGGCATTTGCTACACGACGAGTCGGAAAGAACATGGACGCCACCACCACCACCAGGGGCAGTGGCAGGCTAGTGTTATTGTTAGCTACATTAGCCTATTTAGCAAACCAGCTCAAAAACAAAACTTTACATTGTATTGCACGCACAGCAACATCGTGCAATGCATAAATTGGTGACCGGACTAAAGCAGCAATGTAAACAAGTGTGTAAGAGCATTTAATATCGACATTAAAACAACCAACGTAGTACAAATACCAGCAAAATACATCTCAACTTATATGAAATATGGGCGCAGCCATCTTTGTTTTGCGAGTCGTACGTTCCTCCTCGTTCAGCTCGGTGTACTCTGAGGAGCCCCGAGTGGGACGGTTGATATTACAACCAAAAGGGGGTGTGTGGGGGGATTTACGAGAGAAATGGATAGCCCCATTACAGAGGTGGTTTCTATGGTGATTTTTGGTGGTAGCTGAGTTGTACCTGAAAACACAGTATTTTGTCAACTCAGACCTTTTTCAAAAATATTTTTGATTTCTTAAAAAAAAAAAAAAAAACGCTCACTGTCGATATTTTAATAATAATAATACAGGTCGGTTAAGTTTTGTCAACAGTGAGGTATTCAGGGGCACTGGGGTTGTACAACAAATCAGATTGTATCTTTTAACAGTAGATAGTAGAAGACCATGTTGTTACAGTGTGTGAGAGACAGACCTGTTCTGAAGTCCTCCTCCTGGCCCATGTCCCTCTTGCCAGCCAGACCCGGCTTGTCTCCTAGTGTCCTGTGTCCATCTATTCCATCTGGACAATGAGGAGTGATCACAATCGATACAGTCACACAAACAGCAGATGGGTTACCTGAGCATTTGATTACAGCCCTAAGCTCAATTCACTTGAAATTTAACAACTTCCTGATGAAACTGCACTTCAACTTGGTAAAACTGCTACAGCTACTAGTGTTTTTTCACATTTCATTTAGAATATAACTTCAAGCTGCTCCAGATTTTCCCATATTGCAGCTGTGAATAATTGTTTTTATATTTTGACATTAGATAAATGTTTTCTACTAAATTAACATAATAACAACCAAAAACACACACATTTCCTAAATATCCCACTGTCTCAGAAGCATCATACATAAGACACACATACATACACAGTGCACACATGGCACACCTCTACCCTAGTTCTCGTAAGAAGAGCTAAAGGACGTTGTACACTTGGTTATTTCAGCATGGTGTTTGGTTTGTAACTGTTTGCTTAAATTTCCAAACTTTTACGGACCACCTGCAGGGCTTGGCTCATGGAATTGCGGTAAAACAGATTTGAACAACAGAAAGACATTTTTTAAAAGCACACATTTAAAATACGATGGATTGTCAGTTTTAGCACAGAGAATAATAATGATTGAATGATCATGATGATGTGAAAAAATTGAAAATAAAATTATGCAAAGTGATTTGCTCAGCCATGGTGGTGGATGCTTCATTTCATGAGCCTACAGATCATTGTGAGATGTCTTTGACTAAGGACCTCAAACTGCCGGCCCGGGGGCTCGACTTTGACCTGTGGCCCTTTGCTGCGTATCATTCCCTCTCTTGCTCCCCCCTTTCCTGTCACTCTTCAGCTGTCACTATATATTAAAGCTAATAAAAAGCCCCTCAAAAGATTATTATAACTTTTTATTATTTGTTTCATACAGTGAAAATAAAAACAATTATCTTTTTAAAAAAGCTCAAATGTGTGTATAAGAGGAGAGCAGGTTTCAGGACTTCATTAGTTGAAACAGCCATTTTGGTTTGCAGTATGATTAGTACTTGAAGTATTTTCAGAATATTGCTCTTTCTTGTAGTACGTGTATGTTGTAGTGGCCCTCCTATGAGAAGACACTACCAGCAGTGGCCCGAAGACAATTTGAGTTTGAGGTGAGAGTTCAAAGTACAAACCCAATTTACTGTGTTTAAGTGGTTAATGATAGCTCTGCTGTGTACAGCTCTTTACACACTGTTCTTTTCGAGCAAACTAAGTTGCATGTCAGTATATTTTTTTCAAACTTTAGTTTTTGTCATGAGTATTTTCTCACAGAACGTGAATAGGGACATTTCTTCAGGTTCTTTTACTTGAGGTAGATTTTTCTGAGCTTTCTCAGTGCAAATGAAGGCATCAGCCAATCACATTGTATGTTTCTGTGTGTCCAGTAGAGTTCTGCTAAATATTCCTTTTTCTCTCTCTGACTGAGTCAGTTGTTTACATCTATAATTGTCATGTTGCAAGGAAGAGGGAAAGAGTGTGTAGCCAATGTGGGGCAATAATCTGGCAAGCTGGGGGGGGACTAGCCTAGCCCTGTGAAGGGAAAAATATGCTAGAAAAAACTCCAACATTGTCATATTTACATGTTGTATCTTCTTAGCTAGCATGCTAGTCACCAATACATCTAAGTGTAGTTTGAGTTTTGTTTTTGGTTAAGAAACAGCGCTGAATGCTAATTGCTTCTAAAACCACAGTGTCTTATTAGCCCCAGTTTATACCTCTCATGTGTTACTATTACATTTGAGTTACAGAGCTAAGCATATATTATTCTGAAAAATATACCCAGCAACCTAGACGGTCTCTTACCAACACTTACTACTGTTCTGAAAGTATGTTTAGAATCCTTAAAGACTCCTCTAACCATCAAAATCATTAAAAAAAACAACATTAAAATATATATAATCACTGCATAATTAAAACAGGATTCCAATACGTCCTGGAAAACCTGGAAATTTAGAGACTAGTTTTCCAGTCATGGAAACATTGGTTAAAATGACCAGATATAGTGGAAATAATCTATGCTGTCCTGGAATTGTTTTATTCTCTTTTAGGCCCTCACTCAGATTACCTTTACATGAAGCTAGATGTACATTTTGTATAAAACTCGATTGCTGGTAGGATAATGACACTTGCGGGTTAACCAGATGCAAAGTGGAATGGACTTTTCATTGAGTCTATTTTTCTGGAGCCCTTAGTGGAATACTCAGATGGTCATATCAACATGCATGCAACTTACATTTGTTGTTGTCGTTGATAAAACATGCAGATTGATGTTAATTTCACATGGAACAACATTTCATCATTGAAAAAGGAGGAATAAAATGTGTCAATACTAGGCCTACCAGAAGATGATATGATATTATATACTCACATTGTTTGTGAGCAAGTGCTGTCCTGTACTGTGAAAGAAAACTCCTGGAAAATTATTTCTGAAAAAGAGTGGGAACTTTAAACCATTTCCCTAGTTGGGATTATTTTGTAGTTCTATTTTTCTATGGCCAGATGCAAGAGAGGTACAAACTGAGGCTGCGGTATGTACGCGTTCTAATGATTAAATTAATTAAAATGTATACTCGCTAGAACATAAAAAATCTCTCCTATCAGACCTTTCAGCATTACTCACCCGTCTGTTTCAGTTATGTGTCTTTATTGTATAAGTACACAACTCTGAGTGTTCATGATGTGTGATTATAAAGGAGGGAATTAAGTGTTTGACTCAGTGTAGGGTCTTCCTCATTAGTTAAAGTAGTGCTTGAGCCGGTACCCCCTGTCCCCTTTGTGTGTGTGTTGAACTAAAAGTCCAATTAAAATACATGACATTGGACTGACCTCAAGAAGGGAAATAAATGGATTTTAATGGTTTTGCTCCTCTTGTCTCTATGGGCCCTTGGTGTTATGGTCTTTCCATTTAATATTACATATCCTGCAATGTGAAATACCATGTTAATCCATTATCCATCGTAATGTGTTTTATGGTGCTTTAAAAATATAAATCCATGTTTTATAATATATTTTCTTTTGAAAAGTAAAACTTATTTTATGTTAACCTCATATATACAGTAAACAGTGGCGTGCATGGGGGGGGGGGGCCAAAACGCGTGCTAAACTGTCCTCTTGGGAGCCAAAACTCGCTAAAGTGTCCTATTGGGAGGCAAAAACGCGTGCTAAAGTTGTCTCTTTTGAGTTGTCAAATAAATAGTTAAATGCGTATTGTTCCCTGCGTGATTTTATCACAGAGCCCTCTTGGGTGAAGAAAATACATTAAACTCCAGAAGACTATTAGGACCAAGAAATACTATGACACATTACTGTTGCAATGACTTTTATGTTGGGCCCTTTGTTGATCTATATTGAGCCAGAACTATATCTCACAGAAGCAGTTGGATTAGCTGGTGCTAATATGGTATTAAAATGCACTAGAATACAGGAAATGGCATCTACTTAATTGAAAATGTTCTGGGAGAAGACCCCCAGACCCCCTACGGATTTCTTTCCTTCATTCATCCATGTCGCTGTGTGTTCTTCGCGGCCCAATGTTGAAATCCACACAGTTCTCGTGGATGCTGATCCTAACAGCAAACTAACCTGAGTAGTCTGTGTAGTTAGTCTGTTTTAAGGCTCTATAATGTGCCATTTGTATAACATATAAAACGTGTCTAAAGTGCCCTCTACAGTGGTGAGGACGAGCTATATGTGCCCTTTTTTTTCTTTCCCCCCCTGCCCTTCAAAAAGACAGTATATAAATACAGCCAACACTAGCCAGTAATATTTGGACTAGTTTTGACAATGGTGACTGAGGAAATTTAGGCAAATGTACAGTTGTACAGTATAGGGCTCTAAACTTTTCATCACCTTCCCAAAACTCACAAAATGGGGCACTAACATCGTTCTACAGCAGGAACAAGGCTGCCTACAGATCAGATGTGTCTGCAGACATTTATTGTTGTATTGCATCAGCCACTGCCGATTAAAAAAATGTCAGATAATTGGCCGACTGATTATTGAGGCTGTCTATACTTTTAATGGATATTATAATGATTTTTTTAATCACGCCTTCACAACATCAAAACTGGTTCATATAACACATGACTGATGTTATGTGAAGAAAACAAAATAAAAGACATAAGATGAAACAGACAGGAGAGGGAGAGTCGACCCTGTTTAAAGTTTCAGTTAGCTTTGCAAAGAAACTGCCAGAGAGAGAGTACTTTCTATATACTTTGAGTGCATTTCAGAGCCTGTACTTTTTTACTTTCACTTGAGTAACAAAATCTGTACTTCTACTTTTACCAGAGTCTTTATAATATTTTAGTATCTGTACTTTTATTTGAGTAAAAATGTGTATACTTTTGCCACCTCTGCTGGTATCTAATCACTACTAATTAAGACTATTTAATCTGGTGTTCCGGCTCACACTTCCTGTTCCTCCCAATCTGTGGACATTATGCAGTGTAATCCCACCTGTTCTTAACTAGCAGACACTCACAGAAGATCAAAATGAATTCCTTGCTTAAAGCACAGAGAGAAATGCAGTGTTTGGATGCATAAGCACAGGCAGCAGCAGAATGGCATGCGTCCTCTCCTGATGGGTGACAGAAGCAGCTAATAAGTGGGATGTTTGGACAGAGCAATTCCTGGCCTGACACCAAGGCCCTGCAGCGACCGTATGTTTCTATCTTACATTGAGTGACCAGCTCGTCTCTGCCTCTGGCACTGGGAGAATCCTTTATCTGAATTAGGTGATCAATACGACCTGAAACACAGGATGAGGCAGGAGCAACCTTTACCTGGGCTTCACACACACACACACACACACACACACACACACACACACACACACACACACACACACACACACACACACACACACACACACAGAGGGACAACATTTCCAGGGTTCCTGTTCTGCACTGATTTGGACCCCACAAACTGGTAAGAACATACACACAAATATACACACACACACACACACACACACACGCATCTGGACACCCTGTGCTCACTTAATGTGTCCTCTAAAGATAATGAGACAATCTTTAAATTATACTAAATTAGCGGACACAATGGAGACACAGGGATAAAGACAGAGATTGAGCTCCACTGTCTCTTTTGTAAGCCATATTACATAGGCAACGTTGTCAAGCAATACAAGTGAGCTCTGGGCTTCATAACAAAACCCAGCAAGCATTTTAAAGACATTAGTCACAGCTCTATAATGTAAGATTTCTTTAATGATGTTCTAGGTGTATGTATTTAAAGCTGCAGTAGGTAACTTTAATAAAGATAACTTCATTTCATATTTGCTGAAACGTTCACAGTTTCCTGACAGTAGAACTTGAGACAGATAATCTGAAAAAACCAGGTTCCTCTGGCTCCTCCTATTGCTCCTAATGGCATTTGCAAGAATCCACCACGCCTGAATGAAAACGACCAATCAGAGACAAGAAAGACGGAAAAACACTTTGGGTTGGAGGCTTGAAGATAGTTGATTGTTGAGTCTCATTGATAGTGTTGGTACTTGACGACCTGGGAATGAGACTGAACAAACAACTATCTTTCTCAGCTCTGATTGGTTATTTTTGTAACATGCAATGAATTCTTGCAAGTGCCATAAGGTGCACTAGAAAGAGAATTTTAGCAAATATGACAAAACTTTATTCTTTATAAAACTTACCTACTGCAGCTTTACAAATTAACAATTGATAACTACTCAGATGCTAAAAGGTCCACCCATCCTCCACTTTTGGTTAAAGCTGCACTAATGAATATTTTTATACCAAAACCAAGTCTGACATTTTGGGAAATAAACTCATTCACTGTCTGACTTAGGGTTAAATAACAAGATCGATATCAGTCTCATATCTGTCAGAGGAGCAAAGTCCTGGATCACTTGAAATTTGCTACTAACTTTACCACTTTTAAGAGAGCTACCAAATCTTGGTCAATTCAGCAACAAACCTGCTCATTAATGTGACGTCTTTAATTCAGTGTTTTATGTATCTTTTTGCATTCCGTTAACTCTTTTTTACCTTCCTGTTTTTCACACCATGATTAGGCATGGGACAATAAGAACATTTAATGTCACAATTATCTTGGCCAAAATAATTGCGATACGTGATATTATCACAATAATCATGAAAATGCACTTCATACTTTTAAAATGGAACTAAAACATACAGGACTCACTTCACCTTACCTTTTGTTAAGAAAGCAGTGTTTTTTATCATGATATGCAATAATATATATCGTCCTACTATGATACTTGCTTCAGATAGCTGTTTTCAGCCTGTCTGTGTGTATCTGTCCCTATCAAATAAAGCACAAATAAATAAATAAATAATCTATCCATTAGATATAAAGCTATAGCCAGGAATTGGTTAGTTTAGCTTAGCATAAAGACTGGAAATGGCGAAGCAGTTTGCCTGGCTCTGACTAAAGGCAGGGCTCCAGAGTGCGACTAATCATTTTTCTAGGTCGCACTGGTGCACCTGACGCTGCCCGGGTGAAAACATACATTTATTTCGCAAGCGCATCACCTCTCTGTGTTCTCCTGTGACCGAACTCACACACTCATGGTAGGATCATATCGGGTTCTAAACCAATAAGAGACAGAGCTCGGGTGGGTCTTTGCCTCTGATTGGCTGTGGTCCTATTCACTGCGCGAAATTGTGTGTGTTTAAAAATTGCCAAGCCCCGGTCCTTCGGCGACAGCATCAGACTCGGAACCAGAGGAGACAACCGAGTCTGCGATAGAGCCCGGCTCCGAGACCCAAATTAAAAAGCCAAAATATATTCCTTCAGACAGGACTGGCTGAAACAATTTCCCTGGCTGAGGTACAACAAAGGACGTAACGCAATGCACTGCGTGTACTGTCAGGAGTGCGGTCAGAATATGGGCCGGAAATAGTGCATTTGTGAGCGGGTCAACAACGTTTCGTATCGAAACTTTTATTTGGAAATGTTTTATTTTGCTTAGTGTTTTAGTTTGAAATTTAGTTTCAATTTCAGCTCAGTGAAGCACCTTAAACACTTTATTTTTCTTTTTAAACATAAGTGTGCTTCAAATAAAGACAAGCATTTCTCTACACCTTAATCTTGTTTAAAAATCATTCACATTATATGAAAGTTTTGGAGAGTGATAAAAAGGTAACCTTATGACGTTAAAGGCGACGCAATGAAAAATTTGGGTGCACCTAAATTTTGTGCTGGTGCACCTAAAAAAAAATAGGCGCACCAGTGCAACCAATGCAAAAAGTTAGACTGGAGCCCTGAAAGGTCATATATATATATATATATATATATATATATATATATATATATATGGATATATTTTTTTGACTTTATTTGATAGGACAGCTGAAGATAGGAAAGGGAGAGGGGGGGTGACATACAGCACGTTAACACGTTAAATGTGAAGTTTGTTTAATCAGTAACCTTGTTGCATTACACTTTGGTTTTTGTACGGACAGAATAGAGAGAGTGAATATTGGGTTTACATTCATTAGGCATACACAAACACAACTCCAAATGCTAATGTTGCCATATCAACTTTGTAAGCTGATAATATGTAAATGTTGTGTTTTCAACTTATTCTGCTGCCCCCCAGTAGTAAAAAAATATCAATTAATGCAGCCTTAAACTTAAGGAGAGTTTATTTATTATAAGATGAAACAAACTAAACTAGGTTTCCATTCAGTCATGGAGATCATAAATAAATTTACTAATGTAAAGAAATACTTGAGACTTTTAGCAGACATTTTACATTTCACATCCACAGTTCTTCATTTTGACTTATCAAAGCAGGAAAAGCACAGGTGGAAATATTATTGACAATGGCCTAATTCCATTAAGGGGTTTTTAACTGGTTATGATATGTTTAATACCATATAAAATTGAATATCTTTGGGGTTTGGACTGACAAAATAAGACATTCAGAGACATCACCTTAGGCTTTGAGGAACTGGTATGGACATTTTTCACTATTTTATGAAACTTTATTGACTGAACAATTAATCAATTAACCTACAAAATAATCAGCACGTTAATCAATAATGATAATCATTAGTTGCACCTAATACTAACCAAACTAATGTGACATTATTCATTCATTTAAGAATTTGTCAGGAATTCTGTTAATTGGTTAAATTTATAATATGTTTTCACAGGATATGATAAAGAAATGTTATGTGAGAACAAAATTTTAAGATACATTTCCAGATGTGTGTGTACAGGCAGTACTTACGGGGACCTAACAGGTAGCCAGCACTGTTCAGAGTCCAGCCACGTTTCTCTTTTGCCTGCAGAATCCACAGACACACAACAATTAGATTATGGAACAAAACACACAAGTTTTTTTTAAGGCGTGACACTACAGGCAAAAGTGTTTTTTTTCATACACTGAAAGATTTTGAGATTTTGGCCCATTTTGCTTTCATAACATGTTTTCTGTCAGACTAGTGGGGAAAATGGCCAAAATACACATTTAGCTGTATATTTTACTGAACTTTGTCTGTTTGCATCTGCTGATTTCACTAAAAGTTATTAATGTCAATAATGCCTCATTTGCATACTTAAACTAAACATTTCAGAAAACCTGCAATGCAAAAAAAATGTCCTTTTTTAAAAAATGTTTAATGAATGTAATCAACTGGGGAAGTTTCATAGTGATATCACTTAGTTAAATTATTTTACCCTATTCACCTTCAGTAAAAAAAGAAAAAGAAAAAATGTATGGAATTTTACAATACATATATTTTCCTTTTTAACTTATGTGAAGTGTCTTTGAGTTTCTTGAAAAGCGCTCAATAAATGTAATGTATTATTATTATTATTATTATTATTATTATTAATATTATTATTAATATTATTATTATTATTTAAAAGCTGTTTTCTCTAAATTATTATTTTCTCACACTCTGAGTCAGAAATCTCCACTTCAGTAGCACTCACTTACACCAAACCCCTCCTGTTTTATTCCTTTCTATATTCTGCTTTTTTTTTTTTTTTGAGTGATAAAAAACATATGCACAATTCCCTCTATAAAGACTTTTGACTCTAATATGTCAACAAAATGAAACAAGAATCTTGAACCTGGCTCTATCCAATGTTCAGATTTTTGTTCTGGCAATGTATGCAAAATAGCTAATAGCTAATAGCTAATTTCTAATTAGATAATGCTTCATTTTGTTTTAATGTTAGTAATCAGCCGGGGCAGTTCAATGGTTCTTTATATCGCCATTCATTTTTACCATAGTCACCTGTAGTGTCTCCTGTTAATGAGTGTTGCTGATATGTCTTTTCCTTCATCAAATCTCTTAAAATTAGGGCTTGGTGATATGACCTAAAAAATAAAATCTGTGTTTTTTTCACATCACACCTGATTTACGATTTTCTTTCTTGAAAAACAGACTACAAAAGATACCATATCTTTGGCAATGTGAAACACCACAGCATCTGTTATGTTTTATCCCTGGGACAACTTCCTCTGGATACTAGACACCATGGGGAAATTATTCTACATGTTCTGTGTAGATGAGTGATTTGAGTGCACTGAGTGCAATTTGTTTTAAAATGTAAATTGTGTGAAATGTAAATGTTAAAACTTGACTTAAAATATAAAATAATTGCTGATATTCAGTGTATGTCTGAAGCCTAATAAATGAATGAATCAATAAATTAACTCCTCTAGCTCTTTCCCAATTTTTATGTTCTTATTTAACTCTAACCACCATCTATTGCTACGCATTTCCAGACATCTCCCCATACACACAGGTGTATTATTGTATCAACTCAACTCCCATATTAACTGCACTGCCTGAAAAAGGAAGGGTTTTGGTGTGTTCAATACCTGACATTTTTGCACAAGTAAATAAATGATGAAGATAAATAAAGATAAATACTCAAAAAGTTCTGGTGTCATAGTTAATACTGTAGATACCAGTATCGGAAAGTGCACATCTTTCAGATCATTACTCTGTATCGGCTGATACACAGAGTTCAGGTATCAGAATCAGTATCGGGAAAGAAAAATTGATATGGGACCATATTTAATTCCTATCGTCTATGAAGGGATGACACCTGAGGAAGAGCTTTGCCTCTATATACTGTATGCTCCCAACTCTTCTAGCATTATTCAGTTTGTTTGGATACATCAAGCACACTCCCACAATTCCTCTTCTATTCTTATTACCATACTACACATTACCAGCACAACCCACTATATAACCTATTACAGCATATTATTTCTCTCTTTATTTTATATTATCCATTTAGGTATTTTAATATTGTTACTTTATTTGTCACTTGTTATTCTATATTGTATTTTGTTACACTGTATCACTGAAGGATTTGGCACATAATTGTAAACGCAGACGCAGTTTGGTTGGCACAGTAACAGCAGAAGTGTTGAATCTTACCGCAATGACCAGTCCGATGGTCTCAGAGAGAGTTGCGCAAAAGATGAGCGACACGCAAAAAAATCCAAAGCACCTCTGCATCTAAAGAGAGAAAGAGAGAGAAACTATTATACAACATCTGCAGCAACATCCAACTTTCCCCTCATGAGGACACATGTTGGTCCACATTAGAGAACTTTTCCACAGAATAAAAAGCTGTTTGTTAAAAGTCTACAAAAGGAGTCATTTACCTTTGATGTGACTTTCCGCCGTCTGTTCCAGTCTGAAGTCAGCAGCACGTTGCTCGGTGTGCCAGTGGTTAAGATGAGAGGAGGACTCCGAATACCTTTTATGTCCTCCATCCCCCGACCGTGCTGCTGCCGGCGCACGTCAGAAGCCCCCCCCAAGCTGCAGGTCACGAACAGAATTCAATAATATCCCATAATGCCATCATCACATTTCTCTTTGTCGCCCTCAGAGACATGGGATTGGATTTAAAAAGGGGGAAAATAGGTCTGTCATAATCTGATATGTGACTGTAACAAGCTTATTGCTCAGTAACACACTCATCACTTTATAGCTGATCTGTTGTGATTGCCTTCAGTTTCTTGTTTTTGGGTTTCTTTCATGACATATTTATCTGCTGATCATTTAGAAATATAAATGATTAACATGTAAGTTCATATATATTCAGATGACATTTTATCATAGGAACACCTATTTACAGTTTTGGGCACTAACTCATTACTAGTAATAATACAGCTATAATATTACTTCCCCCAATAGTGTAACTAATTACACTGTAAAACATGCTAAGTTAGTTCAACTCTAAGTTATTTAACTCAACGCAACAATTTAAGCATGAAATGAATTTGATTTGAATAACTCAAGTATTTTTTCTTAAGGTAATTTGGGTAATGAAGTTAATTGTACAAATTCCATTCACTTAATTGAAGGTACAGTCATGCAGCATTTCTCCAAACTTATTTAAAATGTGTTCACAGAATGTATCTGAATGAAGTCACTTAAATGCATCTTCTTTATACAAATGTTACCACTTAAATAGAATTTGCTCAGTTTTCTTCCACTAAAGCAAATTATTACATTACCTGTCAAAACAGCTGCTGTATGATGAAAACTATTTATAATTAATTGATTATCAAAATGGTAGCCATTTTTTTATTTGACTAACATCAAATCTTTATACTTTGGAGAATCATTAAGAATTATTTGTATGCATACTTGGGCTTATGATGATAAATAAACTAAAAGAAAAAAGAAAAATCCTAAACTCTAAACCTTTATTATGCTTATATTTTTGTAATAATATAAAGTTATATAAAATGAGTCAGCAGAACAAACTTGAATCATATCACCTGTACTTAAAGCTTCAACAATTTATTTTTGAGTTGGGTAAATTCATGTGAATAAGTAACTCCTGTTTTTTGGAGGATTTGTTTATGTTAACTCACTTCTTTATTAAGGCGTGTTCACAGGTTTTTCAGTGTACTAATATATTTCAGTAACAATATTACAGTTAATAATCAGTTAGAAACTTTTTTTGTTGTCACCTACTACTGATCTGAAATCCAAAAATCCAATCACATCCTTGAATTCATTTTTGTAATCATAGAGGAAACTATTTTGGAAGAACATTGGAAACATTCAGCAGCTGTAAATATATAATTACTTTGATTTTAACAAACAAAACTGTATTTTAATCGTCATAAGTCAGAATTTTGCAAAGAAAGGATGTAACCCGAAAAGTAATATAACTAGTAGTGTAGCTTATTGCTGTTTGCAGGAAGTAAAAAGTAATATTACTTTTGAAAGAGTACACAGTCCTTCACTAAATCCTCCTTTGAAATGTTTTTGTTTGAGGAGTTCATTCAGCTGTGGTGCTGTTGAATTGTATTGTCTTGTAATGAAAGGTGTTTTATTATTGTGTCCACATCAAGGGTGGATCTAGAGGAGTGGCATGGGGTGGCCACCCCTAAAAAATGCCTGACCACCCCAGCTGCCCCCCAAGTTTGGTGTAAAGTGCAGTCAATGAACACAGGCTTGAAGCTGCAGTAGGTCATCTTTAGAAAAATGACTTTTTGTCATATTTGCCAAAAACTTTCATTATATCCTGATGGTAGTATATGAGACAGATAATCTGAAAAAATCCGGTTCTTCTGGCCCGTTCTAGCGCTCCATCTCTCTTGGCTCTGATTGGTTGTTTTCATTCAGCCTCTGTGGATTCTTAGTAGCATTAGGAGGAGCTAGAGGATTATTATTATCTGTCTCATGTACAACTGTCAGGATATAGGGAAAATTTTACAAAATATGACCTATTGCAGCTTTAAAGTCTCCATGCCACCCTCGGCCACCTCATGAATACTCTAGTCCACATCAATGTGTGTAGGCTCAGTGGTAGACTGTGTTTGAGCGGCCTTGGTAAATAAAATTAAAAGGGCACCAGCTCAGAAAGTTGTGATGCTTTATAGTGAAATAGCTCAGGGTTAGAGCGGACCCCCTTAGTGGGTGTTTCTTTGTCTGCTTCATGAAATGAACCTCAATGCACAGGTTCTCACAAGGATACACCTTTATAGCTGGTTCCTTTGACCATTTGGACCCCCAGTCTGAGTGCAGTCACAGATGCAGCCTTGGTTTTGCACTGCAGCTATATTCATAGGGTACCCTGTAACATGCTGTGTACTTTCCATGTACCCCATCCATTTCAAAACCCACCAAATGCAGTGAACACACTACGATATAAGACAGGCAGACACTAATGGAGATAGAGCTGCAGTAATAGGCTGTGATGCAGTTGTTCTGTACAATATTTTTCTGTAATTGGGACATAGATTAAGACTTGTGTAAGAGCAGAGGAGACGTAAGCACCTCAGGCTTTTATTTTTTAAAGCTACTTGCTCAATCTGTCTCAATTTAAAGAGAATGAAAAGTAAGGAAGGAATAGCCTTTCCGTCACATACACACATCAGTTCAGAAGTCGAAGAAGATTCAGTAACATCAGAAAAAAGTAAGCCCAGCAAATCTACAAGATTGAGCTGCATTGTGATTCTGGTTCTTTTTTCCCTTACCAAACCACTCACTGCTAATCATGTTGAAAATGTGCCTTCTGAATGTACATATAATCCCATTTTATAAGAGCATGTTTACTGTGGACAAACACATTGTTTTTTTTTTAAATTGCCACAAATGTCAAAAAATGTCCAACTCATTGTTCCACAAACTCATCATTGTTATAGCTTATACATTTTGTTTGGATTCAACTTCTCCAGAGAGCCTTTATTTCTAATTTGAAGACTGGTATGAGTCCTATGTTGTCCCAGATGAGGCACAAAACATACAATTTAATTGAAGCTTTCTTAACTTTTTCATCTTTGCAGTCTATTTCAAAGCTCCTCTGGATGAATGCCTCCTTTTGTACAAGCCTGGAAATTTGACACAATCACTGTATCCTTTGCAGCCCTCAGTATTCACTCATTGTGAACTCATCAGCGCAAACATGAACATGAATTTTAATTTCAGTCCAACCTTTACTGAGCTGACTCTTCTCACACTACGACAGAATGTTTGGGGGAAGACAGGACCAAGCATGACTGTGCCACTGTAAACAACTGTAATACTTTTAAATTCACTTGACCCAGAACTATTGACTGTTTTATATGCTTCATCACCACATGGAGTTTGCTCAGTGGTTATGAAATTGTAGATTCATAAATACCTACTAAATACCAGTTAATATATTAATATTTTCTTTAGTAACTCCTAGTAAGTCCTTTTTCTACTAAACATAAAATTGATGCTATTTAATGAAATTAGGTTCCTCTGGCTGATTTGTTTTAATTAAATTCAGTTCAAATCAATTTTATTTGTATAGTGCCAGTTCATAACAGAAGTTATCTCAGGACACTTTTCAAATAGAGCAGGTCTAAACCGAACTCTTTAATGGCATTTACAAGAATCCACCAAGCCAGGACGAGAACAACCAATCAGAATCTTATAGTATAGTGAAAGTATCAGCAAATATGACCAAAAATTATCCTTATAATTTACTTTATAATTATTTATTTATAAATGAAGCCCCCATAAAAGTGAATTTCTGATTTTAATCAAGACCTTTTATTTTATGTTAAAGGATGTAAAGATAATATTCTGCATTTATGAAGATTTAAAGGTTATGTGACTGGTTCAGACTATATGTAAAGATATAGGAATGAGCTGTTTTTATCAACAAAGAGTATGGGTTCTCTTTTACTGTGTCTTTTACATGTTGAACTCCCATGTTTTTCAACTTTAACACTGGCCCCTTTAGGGCCCTTTGCATTTTTTGCAGCCAACATAGTTTCTCCTACACACTTGGAAGGCCAGCGGTATTCAGTTAGTTGCAATCTGCAACTTTACTGCTAGATATCACTAAATCCTACACACTGGTTCTTTAAAATATCACAGGCTTATATCTGATGGCTCTCTACATGACAAGATTACTACTATTTGAACACCAAACTGAATGATGCTGGTGTGACTTTGACAACATTTTACTTATAATATTTATATATTTGGATCATATTTGCATAATTTTCCCATCTCAAAATGAAAGGACCAGTGTGAAGCTGAAGATTGCTACAATTTAAATACAGCTCAGCCTTTCAAGCGTATAGAACAAACTACGGCAAAGCAAGCCAAAAATTACAAAAGGTGCTAGGCCAGTGTTTGATTTGTCCTTTCTGGGCGGTTGTAATGGAGTCTCAATATGGTGGACCCACTCCCTCTGTAGATAGAAACAGCTTATTCTAAGGTAACAAAAACATGATTCTTTTTTTTCAGATAATACACTAATGAAAACATACCTACTCAAGTGTTCCATTTCTGACAATAGATGAATAAATGTTACACACTGGACCTTTAAAAGACCCCAAATGAGCTTCTGTGATCTGAAACTGTGTTAAAGTTGTCCATTTAGAATAGTTTTGTCATTTCAATTACATGTACTTGGGTTCACAGCCCCTGTAACTGCTATTTGATTAGATTGTCTTCTAAATACCTGTGAGAAGATTTCTATTAGGATTTTAATGTTTTATGATTTAATACACACTTTATAAGTGAAACATGAAACAGCTTTCTCTTCCTCTAACAGGACTGAAAAACATTATCAAAATAAACATGATTACATTGTGGCCCATGTTAGCAGAGAGAAATTAAACAATGTTTCATCTCAGTGAAGACCCAGTGGAAGCTACTGATGAAGCTGATGAAGATTCCCTGGACACTGTGAGGAGCTAATCTGGCCTTTATACTAATAATCAATTCTAAT